TCTGAATCTGTAAAAAGCAACAGAGGGTCCTGTGGCACCTTTGAGACTAACAGAGGTTAGTCTCAAAGGTGCCACAGGACCCTCTGTTGCTTTTTACAGATTCAGACTAGCACGGCTACCCCTCTGATACGGAAAAAAGTAGTAAGTCTAAAAAAGTCAGTAGCATGAACAATACCTCCCCCGAAGAGAGAAAATAGTAAATTATATGGCAGCCGTATGTATGTAAAACAGCGGTTCTCAATCTGTGGGTCGGAACCCCAACGTGGGTCACAACCCCATTTTAATGGGGTCACCAGGGCTGGCTTGGACTGCTTTGGGCCAAAGCCCGAGCCCCACTGCCCAGGGCCAAAGTCGAAGCCCGACAGCTTCAGTCCTAGGCAGGGGGGCTCAGGATGCAGACCCCCTGCCTGGGGTTGAAGCCTCTGGGTTTTTGCTCTCCATCCCCACGTAGGGCACCAGGGCTCGGGTGAGCTCAGTGCCCCCTCCTGGGGTCGTATGGTAATTTTTGTTGTCAGAAGGGGGTTGTGGTGCATTGAGAAACCCTGATGTAAAATATCCTAGGTCCTAGAACACAACTACAAGAAAATATAGTGGTTGGGTGTATTTCTCTTTGATAATCTGTATGAAATCATCTGAAAACTGGGTGCAGCAAGTTGCAGCTGTGGCCCTCAGTGTCACAAAGAAAAAATTCACTTGAATTAGAGGACACCGAAAATCAACTGTGAAACAAGCAGCTTGTCTCGGCCTTAGCTACAGCAGGGCCGTAGCAGGGAAGAGAGAGGTCACTCTGCAGCACAGCAGCGGGTTGCAACCTTTTTTCATTTGCGGACCCCGAGAACGGGTCGAAGGGAGGCGCGGACCCCTTCGGAAATCCCCTGAAAACCACCGCAGCGCAGCAAGTGCCGCCCAGCGAGCGGGCGAACGGCCTGGGCGGGGCTGCTGACGGGTCCCGCTGGCCCGGGCACGTTCAGGTGGGAGACGGGCGGGCGCGGGGCCGGGGCTACACACAGCCCCAGGCTGGGACGGGACCGAATCCCTCTGAGGTGCCCCCGCCTCACGGGCCGCGCCGAGCTGCTGCTTAAACCCAGGCCAAACCCTGTCCTCTATCGCGTCCTCACCCTGGCTGAAGTCTTCGTCCGGGTCCGCCTCGGCACAGCGGGCAAAGCCCGGGGGCAGCGCCGGCCCCATCAGCTCTCGGGCCATGGCACAACAACACCGCCGCGCATGCGTATGGCGTAGCGACGCTTGCGGCCCAGACAAAGCCGCCGGCGCATAGGCGGCTGACGGTCCCCATAGCCCTTCCGGCGCTGTGCGATGACGTTACTCGGTAGTGTGGCCGGCGGGGTTCCGCACCCTGGCTTTGGGGCGTGGTGTTTACAGTAGTCCCGGAAGTGACGTATAATGCAGCGGCCGCCTGTCCCCCCCATGTGGAAGCAAGCGCCGCTGGCAGTGGTAGCACGGGTGGCCGGAGGGGTCTTTCCGGGCCTGACATGAATCCGTTCGCCTGGTACCCGCCGCCGCCTCCCATGTTCAGGCCCCCTGTGTTCTGCCCGCCCCCCGCCTGGGACCCCGGCTTCTGGGCGCCGCCGCCGCCTGCGGATTATCCGCCGCCTGGCGCATGGTACCAGCCGTCATCGGCGTACGGGGAGCTGCCGAGAGACCCGCACCCAGGTAGGGAGACCCCCGCGGGGGCAAAAGGGAGGGGCACCTGAGCTGGGTATTCCCCCCTCCTGTTCACCCAACGAAACCCCCCCCTCCGAGGGGCTCCTGCCCCGTTCCCCCCATATCCGTCCTTCTGTGGGGCGCGCAGGGTTTCTCCCCACCTGCATCTCGGGGGTGAGGAGTGGTCCTGGGTGCTGCAACCCTGCTTTTCACGTGCACTCTGGCTTGTGGCTCTGCTTAGGTGGTTGTTGCTTTCCTCCAGTGCTGGCTACTTCTTGCTTATGACTGAAAGAAGGACGAGGTAGTTCCCACGCTCTTTCCCAAGTTTCACAACCCAGGTTTTTGTCTTTTATTTGTCAAAGATTTGGTGATGCTATAATATACCTCCAAGGAGACTGTGTCCTTTTGGGGTTTGCCATGTTGATGATGTCATTGAAAAAACAAACCAAAAAATCCATGTGTTATCTGCACTATTAATAATAATAAATCAGTATTTTAGATTTTTTTTTTGAAGTGGTAGCACTAATTTTCAGGCAGTTTTTTAAAAGCATTGATAGAATAAGGGAGATCCTGAGAGGTCTCAGCAATGATGTATTGGAGTATAAGATAACAAGTAGTGTAATATTGTGATTACACAGATGAGGTAAGGAATATCAGATGGATCAAAAAACTTCCATATTTGTGTTTTTCTTCAAAATATTTTTTGTAAGATTATTTAGAGTGCACTGCTTTATATTGAAGAACAGCTATGTGTAACTTCATTTTTCTTGTAATATTTTTTTATTGAAGGTGGAAATTGCCATTTTACCCAAGAATGGCAAGCTGAACCAACACCTGCATTTTTTAAACATTCTCCAGGTGGAAACTTCAAGCAAAAGGTACTTATAATAGCTATTATGTGGCGCTTCGTAACTCAGTTGTACTTCTGGGATACAGTAGTCTTAATCCTACCACACCAGTTAGGATCATGTTATAACCATATGTTGTAACATATGTTAACCCAGGGGTGGGCAAACTTTTCGGCCTGAGGGCCACATCGGGGTTCTGAAACTGTATGGGGGGCTGGGTAGGGAAGACTGTGCCTCCCCAAACAGCCTGGTCCCTTCCCACTTCCCACCCTCTGACTGCCCCCCTCAGAACTTCTGACCCATCCAACCCCCCCTGCTCCTTGTCCCCTGACCACCCCCTCCTGGGACCCCCCCTGCCCCGACTGCCCCCCTGGAACCTCACCCCCTATCCAATCCCCCTGCTACCTGTCCCCTGACTGCCCTGACCCCTATCCACACCCCCGTCCCCTGACAGGCCCCCTGGGACTCCCATGCTTATCCAACCGCCCCCTGTCCCCTGACTGCCCCTGGAACACCCTGCCCCTTATCCAATGCCCCTTATCCCTGCCCCCTTACCATGCCGCTCAGAGCACCAGGACTGGCAGCCACGCTGCCCGGCAGGAGCTTGCAGCCCCGCTGCCCAGAGCGCTGGTGGCATGGTGAGCTGAGGCTGCAGGGGAGGGGGAACAGCAGGGGAGGGGCCAGGGGCTAGCCTTCCCGGCCGGAAGCTCAAGGGCCAGACAGGATGGTCCAGCCCGCGGGCCATAGTTTGCCCACCTCTGTGTTAAATATTATGTTATAAATGAGAGCATTTCATGATGAGACAAGTCTGCAAGTTCTGGATCCATTCAAGGGAGGGATGCGCTAATCAACTTATTTAAATTGTACATTGTGCACGTGATTTTATTGTTGAGACATACTAACCTTGCAAGAACTTTTATTTCTGTGATGAGGCCACTTTGGCATTTTGGTTATGTTGGCAGTGGTGACACTTAGTAAAAAGATTCCTGTGGCATCTTTAAGACTAACAGATGTATTGGAGCATAAGCTTTTGTGGGTGAATACCCACTTCGTCAGATGCATGTAATGAAAATTTCCAGAGGCAGGTATAAATATGCAGGCAAGAATCCATCGTCTACAGTCAAGTGCTGAGGTACAACTGCATCTGCTCCAACCTCTCAGACAGATACCAACACCTACAAGATCTTCACCAAGCACTCACAAAACTACGCTATCCGCACAAGGAAATAAGGAAACAAATCAACAGAGCCAGACATGTACCCAGAAGCCTCCTGCTACAAGACAAGCCCAAGAAATAAACCAACAGAACTCCACTGGCCATCAC